ACAGTTCCACCCAAAACAAGCTGCCATTTATTAAAAAGGCTGAGGCCACCATGGCATTAGTTATCGCTGAACACTGTTCCATGCTGGCATGTGATCACAATGGAGATGCATATAGACCTGCTTTCTCAGACTCCACTGCTGCTACCCACTTCAAAATTCACAGGACAAAGTGCACAGAAATTATTAATGGTGTTCTAGCACCATACTTTCTGAAAAAGTTGGTCGCAGATGTGGGTGACCAGCGTTTCAGCCTCCTCCTCGATGAGTCCACGGATGTAAGTGTTTCTATGTACCTGGGGGTTGTGATAAGGTACTTTTAGTGACACCAAGCAGACAATTGTATCAACATTTCTGGGGCTTCTTGACGGAGGAGATGCCAAATCTATAGCCCGTGCTGTTGTGGCTTTCCTCGAGAAGTGTCTTAAAACAGAGAAACTCCTGGGGATATGGACTGACAATGCCTCTGTAGCTCAGTTGGTAGAGCATGGCGCTTGCAACGCCAGGGTTGTGGGTTCGTTTCCCACGGGGGGGCCAGTGTGAAAATGTATGCACTCACTAACTGTAAGTCGCTCTGGATAAGAGCGTCTGCTAAATGACTAAAATGTAAATGTTATGACGGGGATTAACAATGGGGTCCATAAAGTGCTGAAGGAGGAGTACGGCCTCAAAGATCTGGTTCATATTCGCTGTGTGCCACTCTCTGCAGCTTGCTGTAAGTCATGCTTCCAATGACACCATCCCCCGTAGTGTGGAGTACTTGGTACGAGATACTTATAACTGGTTTTCAATGTCTCCAAAGGCGCAGGGAGGCCTACAAGGCCATATATGAGACCATCAACTGTGGGGAGAAACCTTTACAGATAGCCAAGGTGTGTGCCACACGTTGGCTCTCCATTGAACCTGCGGTTTCACGCATTTTGGACCAGTGGGAGGAGCTTAGGCTGCATTTCGCAGTCACCTAGTCCAGTGACCACTGCTACATGGCTGAGGTTCTATACTCCATGTACAGTGGTCCTCTGCAGAGATAGACAAGATTGTCCAGCAATGGCGTGCCATCCATCATAGTAAATGGAATGAGACAAAAAAAACACACTGGGCTTCTGGAGTGAGATTTGGTGGGCTTCTGGAGTGCGATTTGGACGTTCAGGGGATGCAGCTGATATCAACCCGTTTCAAGAACTTGCCATGGCTGCTGCGTCTGTGTCGTCCAGCCAGATAGCGTTTGCTATGAAGACTGTTCTTACTGTATGGAAACCAGAGTTTGGCCCCCAAAACAAGCTTCCTCTCATCATTAATCATACCCGAGCCATCTCTCCCTGGTACCTCATTATACACAAACACCAATTCATTCTACGGAATGCATTCTGTAGGTTATCATCACCAAACCATTCATAAAATCAATTGTCATCTCCAGATACCCCTATCTCGAGTAAAACCCCATGTCCTTGACCACACGCCTAGACTAGCTGCAGGGAGATGAAGCAGGGAAACATATGACATGTTAATATTTCTCTCACAGTGACCAGAGTTCTTAAACCCCCATCGATTGGGGATGGCCCTTTTAGCTGTAGCCCCAGAGAGAACCTATTAAATTACTAATCATTCATTAGTATCCTAATTCTATGTGTAGCCCCCTATCCAAACTTATATTACGCTAGCTAGCCCAACAGCAGCAGAAATGTTACTCAAGTGACGAGCTCGCCACCGGATGCTGGTGGTATCATCGTAGTAACGTTAGCTGCTATTCATCCCAATGCAATTGTCGAAGCAAAAAAAAAAATGCAATGAACGGTTTACCTGACGATTGTGGATTCTTGTCTAACCGTTCATATTTTAAATTTAAATGAAGTGCGCATTAACAACTTTAAAATACTCAAAAACAGATTTGCAACATTGCTAGCTCTCGGAGTTCGCGGGTGTTTTCAGCTGTGGGTCTCACCAGAACTTCCAAACCTTCGGTCGGTGTACTGTTGTTGCCCATCAACGGTCCATCTCAAAACGTCCCACATACAACATCTCATTCTGTTTTCAAAGTAGCGAGGGGGGGGTTACATGTCTTACCTTGAATTCATGTTTTATAGCAGATGTCATAATTATAAAATAAATAAGAATGCCATATTTCGATGTGGCACTGTAGTACTATAGTTATAACACAATAATTCACACAGCCAGCACATTTTCCCCAAAGTTTATTGCCTCAAACATTTTACAGTGCAGAGGTCTGGTCTAGATGGCGGAGATGTATTGTCGAGCCAGCTAAACTTTTTCAACAATTCATCTTCAGCTACAGCAGCCAAGCTACAAAAGGTCTGCAAAACAGCATCTTTGGAAAAAGGAACTTAAGAGTCAAAGAAAACCTAAATTCATTGTCAATCAGTCTTTATACATCTCTGTACATTGCAGCTCAAACTATTTACATATTTCCACAAGGCAAAAAAGTTTAATTACAAAACATTTCTGCACATTTTCCCAGTAAATGACCAAGGTGATGACGGTCCTTTTAGTGTGAGATCATATATTTATGGACAATAATTATAATTTTGCACACAGAATACCTACTGAAGCGCAAAAAAAAAAAAAATAGATTTAAATGAAGCATGACAACGAAGCTTCAAAAATATGAAAGGACATGTAACATGACATAGAAACCAGAGCAATGTTTTAGTAAGTACAATTGTAGAATGTTATCTCAAACATTCTACAATTGTTTGAGAACATTTAATTTCATGTGCAGTTTTTTGACATCCAAGTTGGGAAACTCAAAGTATGATTGATTACTTACAAAGCAGCCTACTTTGGGAGGGGAAAAAAATATATATAGAAAAAAAAAAGAAAAACCATGGTACCAGTGTACTCTATTCATACGGTTCATATTTGTGATCAAATACATACATAAAAGCATTGTTCTTTTGTGGTTCCAAGTGCAGCCCTTATATATTTGTACTCCAATAGAAATAGCTTTTCCAGTGAGTCCCCATTTTGTTTTTGTTTTACAGTATAGTAACAATAAAACAATTCATATAACTAAATGGCACATATTTAGTCAATTTAAAGCAAAGCATTTTATTATTGTTCTTTCTTTAATGTTCTAAATATTGTTTTTGCTTTTATCGTTCAGTTTTATTGCTCATAACCAAAATAACAACAAGCAAGAGGAAGTGACAGGTCAGGTCAAAGTGGTATTTTCAGTCCAACCCAGAGGAGAACACTGAAGGAAACCCGAAAATGATGCAAATGATACATGTTGTTTATCTTGCTGTAAGCATTGACGTGTTAATGCAGAAATTAGAGGCAGGGTGGGAAGAAAATATCAGAATATTGATTGACTTAATGTTTAACATCCGTTAAACATTAAATAACCACTGATTTAATCAAATACGAGTGTGCAATTGTAATACCATCAAAAACCCCACCTTTATTGAAATCCGAAAAACAAATACCATGATGTCATTCATTCTACAGAAATTGAACAGGGCGCTTTAAAAAGGGAAATGTCATTCATTCTACAGAAAGGCAGTGTCTAGGTCTGGTCATCTTTGATCTCCATGAATAGACGGTGCAATTTGGGACACAGCTCTTGTTATCGGGGGAGTTGTGTGGTCTAAAATGGTGGTAACAGCCACTGAAGAGATAATGGCCAATAGGGTCAAAGGTCAGTCGTAAGATTTAGCCAATCATTTGCCCAGTCACTTCTGTTGACCTGTGTGGTACATAAACCTTAGTTGCAACTACTGTACGAAAAAACAGCAATCATTTAGTTGTCATTTAGTTGACAAGTGTTATTTTTCAAATTACTTGGGCTGTTATTGTATGTACGCACGGCACGACACCAGATCTATGCAAAGGATGTAAACAAAAACAACCTGTCAGCGCTTCCTCACAGGTTGCCAGTCCTACGGTGAATCATTTCCAACTGTCACGGCTGTCAGTAAAAGGGAAGAGAAATACTTGACCATCCTGCTCCCATACCACATACTCAGTCCACTTTTGACTTCAGTTAAAATGGGACTTGATTTGTCATCGGCTCAATACAAGATGATACCATTGAAGACGTATTCCATTTAGGGGAGAGGAAGTGCCCTTTAACACCTCTAAGGCACTTTACCTTCTATTGAATTATGCCATGTTGTCTGTATAAAAACTGGTTACATGCACAGCTTCAGCCTGCGTGTTAAAAAGTATGTATGCTGAATAGATTGCAGACCTAGAGAAAACACTCTTAACCATCACACTAAACAACAGTCCCTCCCTCCCCTCCCCTCCCCTCCCCTCCCCTCCCCTCAGACAGCTTTACACTGCTTCCCATGTGCAGTGAAGATGAGGTAGTTACTTCCTCCTTCCTGTCTGAAGAGTAGGGATCAGGCTACTGGTTAAACTGTACTCCATCAGCGACTATTTGGCTTCTTATCTCAAATGTTTTAGATGAACAGTTATTGTTGATAAAAAAAAAAGGAACTTAAAGTACAAAATCCAACTCAAATCAAAGCATATTTCTGTTATGACTGAATTAACATAGTGGACCCGCCCCCCGGCATGCAGAGTCCATCACTTTAGAAGAGAAAATAATAATATCGTCACAAAAAGCATCAAGGACCATCTTGTCTCCATGAATGAAAAAGGCCATTCAAGAATACTGACGTCCATATTTCAGGGCAATGCATCTAGCCACTTCAAAATACTTATATGGTAGAGCAGAGACATACTAATTATATCCTGCCGAATTTCACCAATATTATTATAGACGTATCTGGGATGGATGGATCCCTTCAGTTCTATAGGACTTTTCAGTTGGATGTGAAGTAAACATTGGCCACATCAACGCTTTTGATCAAACAAAAAACTTAATTGAAACATCAACAATATATTAATAGTGATAATAATGAAGACCATGATAATAAATAAGCTTTTTGTCGTCACTGCTTTTGCATTCCCACAGGAGAAAGGTGGGGCCTCTTTGACCCCAACCAAAAAGCAGGTTCTTCAGACAACCATCTCACAGGGACACAGGACCCAGGAGGGATGGGCAGGCCACAGGGAGACACCCTCACTGACCCCAGGACAGACAGGACCCAGGAGGGATGGGCAGGCCACAGGGAGACACCCTCACTGACCCCCAGGACAGACAGGACCCAGGAGGGGTGGGCAGGCCACAGGGAGACACCCTCACTGACCCCCAGGACAGACAGGACCCAGGAGGGGTGGGCAGGCCACAGGGAGACTGGGCCCAGGGGGGTGGGCAGGCCACAGGGAGACTGGGCCCAGGAGGGGTGGGCAGGCCACAGGGAGACGCCCTCACTGACCCCAGGACAGACAGGACCCAGGAGGGGTGGGCAGGCCACAGGGAGACTGGACCCAGGGGGGGTGGGCAGGCCACAGGGAGACACCCTCACTGACCCCAGGACAGACAGGACCCAGGAGGGGTGGGCAGGCCACAGGGAGACACCCTCACTGACCCCAGGACAGACAGGACCCAGGAGGGGTGGGCAGGCCACAGGGAGACACCCTCACTGACATACACTGTATGTATGCATGCATGTATGTGTAGTTGGGAGAAAATGATATAAAAAGGTGACTTGGTATCCATGTGAACAACTTATAGAGGGACATGGGATCCTGCTTTCATCTGACGGCCAGTCAATAAATAAAACCAAAATGGATGTCCTGGACAGGGGAATCCAGGGGTGGGCTGGGTATTGTCGCCAGGGCTGGGCTGGGTATTGTCGACAGGGCAAGGCAGGGCTGGGAATTGTCGACAGGGCAAGGCAAGGCTGGGAATTGTCGACAGGGCAAGGCAAGGCTGGGAATTGTCGACAGGGCAAGGCAAGGCTGGGAATTGTCGACAGGGCAAGGCAAGGCTGGGAATTGTCGACAGGGCAAGGCAAGGCTGGGAATTGTCGACAGGGCAAGGCAGGGCTGGGAATTGTCGACAGGGCAGGGCAGGGCTGAGTATTGTCGACAGGGCAGGGCAGGGCTGAGTATTGTCGACAGGGCAGGGCAGGGCAGGGCTGGGTATTGTCGGCAGGGCAGGGCTGGGTATTGTCGGCAGGGCAGGGCTGGGTATTGTCGGCAGGGCAGGGAAGGGCTGGGTATTGTCGACAGGGCAGGGCAGGGCAGGGCTGAGTATTGTCGACAGGGCAGGGCAGGGCTGGGTATTGTCGACAGGGCAGGGCAGGGCTGGGTATTGTCGACAGGGCAGGGCTGGGTATTATCGGCAGGGCAGGGCTGGGTATTGTCGGCAGGGCAGGGCAGGGCTGGGTATTGTCGACAGGGCAGGGCAGGGTATTGTCGACAGGGCAGGGCAGGGCATTGTCGACAGGGCAGGGCATTGTCGACAGGGCAGGGCATTGTCGACAGGGCAGGGCAGGGCATTGTCGACAGGGCAGGGCAGGGCTGGACATTGTCGACAGGGCAGGGCAGGGCAGGGCAGGGCTGGGTATTGTCGGCAGGGCAGGGCTGGACATTGTCGACAGGGCAGGGCAGGGCAGGGCAGGGCTGGGTATTGTCGACAGGGCAGGGCAGGGCTGGGTATTGTCGACAGGGCAGGGCAGGGCTGGGTATTGTCGACAGGGCAGGGCAGGGCAGGGCTGGGTATTGTCGACAGGGCAGGGCAGGGTATTGTCGGCAGGGCAGGGTAGGGTATTGTCGGCAGGGCAGGGCAGGGCAGGGTGGGGTAGGACCGGGATGCGAAGCGGTCACTGTGCCTCGCGGGTGTCCAGTCGGAGCCACTGCAGTCCCTGCCGAGTGTGACGCACCAGAGAGCTCATGGTGGACGCCAGGCTCAACGGTCCCAGAGCCAAGTCCAGCTCTGACAGCAAACCTAGAGAGACATGGAGAGATGGAGAGATAAGGAAATACCAACAGACTGAGTAGGAGTAAAGAAATGCTCACATGAATATTACTACAACTGTCTATCCACGTCACCAGTATCTTTTCCCCCAGAGTGATCCTGACCTCTAGTGCTGACATACAGAACTACAGCTATAAAGGATCCATTCCTGTGTAATAATATCCCTGTGACTTTAACCCTCCGCTGCTCCCTCACCACTGCCTTTGTGGGCCAGCTCGTCAGCCTGCTCCCAGATGTCGTGAGCACTCAGGAAGAGTGCCGTGATGTTGACGTAGGACGACGCCACCTGCTGGATGACCTGTGGAATGGCCACGGTGCTGACGGTGCCCACCCCAACCCCGCTGCTGTGGTTGGAGCCCGGCCCAGAACTGGTTGTGCTGGCAGGAGATGGCATGGGAGACATGGGGGATGGGGTGCCAGTGCTTCTGAGGAAGAGAGAGCAAGCCAGGGCATGAGACTGAGCACGGCTACAACAGTCTATATACGTATTATGTGGGTTCACTGGGCTGTATATTTCCCCGTCAATCAAACAAGTGTTCCTTATAATGCCCTTTTCATATCAACAGTATTGATTGACTGATTGATTGTGTATAAGATACATTGTATTATGTGGGTTCACTGGGCTGTATATTTCACTGTCAATCAATCAATCAATCAAGTGTTACTTATAAAGCCTTTTTCATATCAACAGTATTGATTATTGATTGACTGATTGATTGTGCATGAGAGAAATGGTATATGTCTAAAAGGGAACAGGCTTTAGAGAGGACATACTGTACAATAGGTAAAATACTTACTTTGAGACACATGGTGAAGGAGCTGCAGGCTTTAAGGAACTCTGAAAAGGAGGATGTGAGACAAAATCTAAATAATTTTTATTTCAAACGTTTAAAAAAACAACATAGGTTGACTGCTCCAAGGATCAGTTTCCCCAGACATATACTGAACAAAAATAAAAACGGAACATGCAACAATTTCAACATTTTTACTGAGTTACAGTTCACATAAGGAAACTAGTCAATTTAAATAAATAAATTAGGCCCTAATCTATGGATTTCACATGACTGGGCAGGGGCGCAGCCACTGGGGGAGCCAGGCCCAGCCAATCAGAATGAGTTTTTCCCCACAAAAGGGCTTTATTACAGACAGAAATACTCCTCGGTTTCATCAGCTGTCCAGGTGGCTTGTCTCAGACGATCCCACAGGTGAAGAAACCGGATGTGGAGGTCCTGGGCTGGCATGGTTACACGTGGTCTGCGGTTGTGAGGCAGGTTGGACGTACTGCCAAATTCTCTAAAACGACGTTGGAGATGGCTTAAGCGAAATTAACATTCAATTCTCTGCAACAGCTCTGGTGGACATTCCTGCAGTCAGCATGCCAATTGCACGCTCCTTCAAAACTTGAGACATCTGTGGCATTGTGTTGTGTGACAAAACTGCACATTTTAGAGTGGCCTTTTATTGTCCCAGCACAAGGTGCACCTGTGTATTTACATTTTAGTCATTTTAGCAGACGCTCTTATCCAGAGCGATTTCCAGTTAAGTGAGTCTTCATACTGGCCCCCCGTGGGAATCGAACCCACAACCCTGGCGTTGCAAGCACCATGCTCTACCAACTGAGCTACACGGGACTATAGTGAAGTGATCATGCGGTTTAAATCAGCTTCTTGATATGCCACACCTAGGGGGACGTTTTTGCCTGCGCTGCAGACGGCTATACAGGTCTGCTAATACAAGACTATTAAAGGCCCAGTGCACTACTTTTGTGATAAATTAGATTTTTCAAAAATATATATTTATTTATTCAGATTTTTCAGGGGGTGCTACAGCACCCACCGCTATGATGGGAACAACACTTTACATGTTGCGTTTATATTTTTGTTCAGTATAGATTTAAACCAGGTGAGAATGACTGCCCCCTCTCACTGAAACCATGGAAGTTTAAGACCGACCACGGTACTGCAGGCATTGTTTGCAGAAAACAGTATCCCCCCCATTATAGTGAATGGAAAAATTGCAATCTTCTTGGTCAATCTTCATGTAAATAAACAAAAGTTTAGATGACAATCTTGGTACCAATAATTGCTTCTAATAAACCAGGTGTATGTCTTTGAACCAATTATTTGAAAATCGCACACAGCAGAAGTTCTAAGGATAATTGAGTTGCTAATTGCAGCCTGCAGTACCCCGGTCGACCTTCAACTCAAGTTACTCAATGAGTGGGGGCAGCACCGAGCTAGCCTGCAACGTCACTTCCTGGAGTAGCTCAAATGGCACGTTATGTCTCCATGAGAAGCCATCTTAACCAACTTAATTTCGCTTCAATGATCGGAGGCTTTGTCCATTCATATACAGTGCCTTCGGAAAGTATTCAGACCCCTTGACTTTTTTAACATTTTGTTACGTTACAGCCTTATTCTAAAATGAATTAAATTAAAAAATTTCCTCAGCAATCTACACACAATAATGACAAAGCGAAAACAGGTTTAGAATGTTTTGCAAATGTATAAAAAATAAAACACTGATATACCTTATTTACATAAGTATTCAGTCCCTTTGCTATGAGACTCGAAATTGAGCTCAGATGCATCCTGTTTCCATTGATCATCCTTGAGATGTTTCTACAACTTGGAGTCCACCTGTGGTAAATTCAATTGATTGGACATGATTTGGAAAGGCACACACCCGTCCATATAAGGTCCCACAGTTGACAGTGCATGTCAGAGCAAAAACCAAGCCATGAGGTCGAAGGAATTGTGCGTAGAGCTCAGAGACAGGATTGTGTCGAGGCACAGATCTAGGGAAGGGTACCAAAACATTTCTGCAGCATTGAAGGTCCCCAAGAACACAGTGGCCTCAATCATTCTTAAATGGAAGAAGTTTGGAACCACCGAGACTCTTCCTAGAGCTGGCCGCACGGCCAAACTGAGCAATCGGGGGAGAAGGGCCTTGGTCAGGGAGGTGACCAAGAACCCGATGGTCACTGACAGAGCTCTAGAGTTCCTCTGCGGAGATGGAAGAACCTTCCAGAAGGACAACCATCTCTGCAGCACTCCACCAATCAGGCCTTTATGGTAGAGTGGCCAGACGGAAGCCACTCCTCAGTAAAAGGCACATGACAGCCCTCTTGGAGTTTGTCAAAAGGCACCTAAAGAGTCTCAGACCATGAGAAACAAGATTCTCTGGTCTGATGAAACCAAGATTGAACTCTTTGGCCTGAATGCCAAACATCTGGAGGAAACCTGGCACCATTTCTACGGTGAAGCATGGGTGGCAGCATCATACTGTGGGTATGTTTTTCAGCGGCAGGGACTGGGAGGCTAGTCAGGATCTAGGAAAAGATGAACGGAGCAAAGTACAGAGAGATCCTTGATGAAAACCTGCTCCAGAGCGCTCAGGACCTCAGACTGAGAGGCCCAGCCAGAGCCCGGACTTGAACCCGAATGAACAGCTATGGAGAGACCTGAAAATAGCTGTGCAGCGACGCTCCCCATCCAACCTGACAGAGCTCGAGAGGATCTGCAGAGAAGAATGGGAGAAACTCACCAAATACAGTTGCCAAGCTTGTAGTGTCATAGCCAAGAAGACTCGATGCTGTAATCGCTGGCAAATGTGCTTCAACAAAGTATTGAGTAAAGGGTCTGAATACTTATGTAAATGTGATATCAGTTAAAAAAATTTTTAAAAATAGCAAAACCTGTTTTTGCTTTATCATTATGGGGTATTGTGTGTATATTGATGAGGGAAAAAAACAATGTAACAATGTAACGTAACAAAATGTGGGAAAAAGTAAAGGGGTCTGAATACTTTCCGAAGACCTGGACTAAAAAAGCACTTTAGCAAAGATTTTTTATAACTAACCCAAGATAGACCACAGTCGTTTCCAATGGGAGCAAATTAATCATAGTGGGCAGAACAAGCAAGAAGGTGGGCAGAGCCAAGCACGAGCTAGCGAGATCCTATTGGCGCGTTCTAGCATGTATTTGCATATTTCCATTAGGGAGCGCCTACTCTGTGAAGTGCGTGTGTGCAATAACTCAATTCGCCCTTGCAATCCTAAACAATGCAATTGTTTGAAACTTTTGCAAACAGTAAATTAAATAAATAAAAACGTTGTCCACTCTGTTCGTAACAGATTATAGTTTTGGGAACATTAAACTGTATGGAGATCAAATGTTTAAATCGATTAGAACATTTTCAGAACGACGGCCAAAATATATCTCGCTCCATCTTCTTCCACTTCCTCTCATCACAATATTTGGTGGTGAGTGGAAATGCCAAACGGATGCTTCAGATTTATACATCCGGTGAAACTTCTGGCTCATTGTTCTATCTGTGACTTCAGTACTCCACTGGTTGATTCCTCAGATTCATTCAGAACGCCACTGGTTGATTCATTCAGAAGGCCACTGGTTGATTCATTCAGAAGGCCACTGGTTGATTCATTCAGAAGGCCACTGGTTGATTCATTCAGAAGGCCACTGGTTGATTCATTCAGAACGCCACTGGTTGATTCCTCAGAACGCCACTGGTTTGATTCCTCAGAACGCCACTGGTTGATTCATTCAGAACGCCACTGGTTGATTCATTCAGAACGCCACTGGTTGATTCATTCAGAACGCCACTGGTTGATTCATTCAGAACGCCACTGGTTGATTCATTCAGAACGCCACTGGTTGATTCATTCAGAACGCCACTGGTTGATTCATTCAGAACGCCACTGGTTGATTCATTCAGAACGCCACTGGTTGATTCCTTCAGAACGCCACTGGTTGATTCCTCAGAACGCCACTGGTTGATTCCTCAGAACGCCACTGGTTGATTCCTCAGAACGCCACTGGTTGATTCCTCAGAACGCCACTGGTTGATTCCTCAGAACGCCACTGGTTGATTCATTCAGAACGCCACTGGTTGATTCATTCAGAACGCCACTGGTTGATTCATTCAGAACGCCACTGGTTGATTCATTCAGAACGCCACTGGTTGATTCATTCAGAACGCCACTGGTTGATTCATTCAGAACGCCACTGGTTGATTCATTCAGAACGCCACTGGTTGATTCATTCAGAACGCCACTGGTTGATTCATTCAGAACGCCACTGGTTGATTCATTCAGAACGCCACTGGTTGATTCATTCAGAACGCCACTGGTTGATTCATTCAGAACGCCACTGGTTGATTCATTCAGAACGCCACTGGTTGATTCATTCAGAACGCCACTGGTTGATTCATTCAGAACGCCACTGGTTTGATTCATTCAGAACGCCACTGGTTGATTCATTCAGAACGCCACTGGTTGATTCATTCAGAACGCCACTGGTTGATTCATTCAGAACGCCACTGGTTGATTCATCAGAACGCCACTGGTTGATTCCTCAGAACGCCACTGGTTGAGTCCTCAGAACGTCCACTGGTTGATTCCTCAACCCGTTGATTCCCAGAACGCCACTGGTTGATTCCTCAGAACGCCACTGGTTGATTCCTCAGAACGCCACTGGTTGATTTCCTCAGAACGCCACTGGTTGATTCCTCAGAACGCCACTGGTTGATTCCTCAGAACGCCACTGGTTGATTCCTCAGAACGCCACTGGTTGATTCCTCAGAACGCCACTGGTTGATTCCTCAGAACGCCACTGGTTGATTCCTCAGAACGCCACTGGTTGATTCCTCAGAACGCCACTGGTTGATTCCTCAGAACGCCACTGGTTGATTCCTCAGAACATACGTGTAGACTAAGGAACATATGTGTAGACTAAGGAACAAAGAACAAATTCAATAATCCTAAAAGCCTACCTTGAAATGATCTGTGAGGGTCCTTGAATACTTAAGTGCTACTTCTCTTTTGTAGCGAAACATGGCCATCTGTAGAAGGGACAGGCCCCTCATACTGCCAGACAGAAAATAACAACAAGGTTACGTTCCCATAATCCTCTCCAGGAATACTTCATTTCAATGACTTCTGAGGTAAAATAGATCACAATGTGCCACTACTTTACATTTAACAGAAATATGGTAAACTATTGTTTGGTGTAGCAGAGTATACATTACAATACAGCAGGGTTGTAGTTATCTATTTACCATAAAACTGTAAAGTCCTTGTCTGTAGTAGGGGCCGAGGGGTTCACAGAGCCTTTTAGTTTCAGTATGAACCTGTGAAGACCGGCAGACGTGGCATTTAAAAAATAAAAAAAACATAACTAGACAAAGCACAGGAAACACAGTAAAGCAAAGGAGAGTTTCATATCCTGTCCTATGTCACACATCCAAACGGTGTTACGTCAGCAGTCAGAAGGGGAACAGCAGAGGGAGTACTTTGATCATTATTTCATACATTTACATTTTTAGTCATTTAGCAGACGCTCTTATCCAGAGCGACTTACATGAGCAATTAGGGTTAAGTGCCTTGCTCAAGGGCACATCGACAGATTTTTCACCTAGTCGGCTCGGGGATTAGAACCAGCAACCTTTCGGTTACTGGCACAACGCTCTTAACCACTAGGCTACCTGCCGCCCCATACATGTCCTGTTTATATTAATCTGTGGGTAGTCTCAGTGCTCAGACTACTCACTACGGCTAAGGAGCTCTATCTAAAACATATTGGTTTTTTGTTTGCTCACCTGATCAGATCCAAGGTCTCAGCGAACATCGTATACGCCGACTTCGGGGTCTGGGGATCGGTTTCCATAGCGATGCCGCTCTCCACGAAGGACATGGCAGCATCTAGGTAGTTGAAAGCTTTGCCCACCTTATCCGGCTGGATGAAACACACAGACCTTAGTTTAATTGGGCCACAGAAACCACTGAGCTCATCTCTGATGACAAAGCGAAAGAGAAACAGAGAATTGAGAGAGAATTAGAGAAAGAATGGGGACAGTTACCGTGGCATCTGCTTTGTGCTTCAGTATTTTGGCTTCCTTCATATGATACTCCACTGGGTGCTGCCTGTGGGCAGCAGGAACATAGTTACATACCAGGCACAACAACAGCCCTTAGAGATGGAGAAATGGGGACTCACACAACGATGACAAACTGGGAGGGACGTTTACCTGTCCTCAAACTGGAGCAGGGGTCTGGAGGACAGGGCAGCCCCGGTGGGCTGGGCAGGCAGGGGTCTGGAGGACGAGGCAGCCCCGGTGGGCTGGGCAGGCATGGTGAAGGCAACACTGCTCTTGGGGGCATTCTGACAGAACCACAGACGAGACAGTATTAGAAAAGCCTTCATATCAACGTCTGATTCTCATTGATTTCATACAAGCTTTATACAATCAATTAATGCTACATAAATACTGAGCATCTTTCCTTTGTATAACATTAAAACATTACTGCAACACATGCATGAATGTACAGTACCAGTCAAAAGTTTGGACACCTACTCATTCAAGGGTTTTTCTTTATTTTTACTATTTTCTACATTGTAGAATAATAGTGAAGACATCAAAACTATGAAATAACACATATGGAATCATGTAGTAACCAAAAAAAGTGTTAAACAAATAAAAATATATTTTATATTTGAGATTCTTCAAATAGCCACCCTTTGCCTTGATGACAGCTTTGCACACTCTTGGCATTCTCTCAACCAGCTTCATGAGGTAGTCACCTGGAATGCATTTAAATTACCAGGTGTGCCTTGTTAAAAGTTAATTGTGGAATTTCTTTCCTTCTTAAGGCGTTTGAGCCAATCAGTTGTGTTGTGACAGGGTAGGGGTGGTATACAGAAGATTGCCCTATTTGGTAAAAGACCAAGTCCATATTATGGCAAGAACAGCTCAAATAAGCAAAGAGAAACAACAATCCATCTTTACTTTAAGTCATGGTCAGTCAATCCGGAACATAAAGAACTTTGAAAGTTTCTTCAAGCAAAAACCATCAAGCGCTATGATAAAAATGGCTCTCATGAGGACTGCCACAGGAAAGGAAGACCCAGAGTTACCTCTGCTGCAGAGGATAAGTTCATTAGAGTTACCAGCCTCAGATTGCAGCCCAAGTAAATGCTTCACAGAGTTCAATTAACAGACACATCTCAACATCAACTGTTCAGAGGAGACTGCGTGAATCAGGCCTTCATGGTCGAATTGCTGCAAAGAAACCACTACTAAAGGACACCAATAAGAAAAAGAGACTTGCTTGGGCAAAGAAACACGAGCAATGGACATTAGACTGGTGGAAATCTGTCCTTTGGTCTGATGAGTCCAAATTTGAGATTTTTGGTTCCAACTGCTGTATATTTGTGAGACGCAGAGTAGGTGAACGGATGATCTCTGCATGTGTGGTTCCCACCGTGAAGCATGGAGGAGGTGGTGTGATGGGTGTGGGGGTGCTCATCTGGTGACACTGTCTGTGATTTATTTAATTTTCAAGGCACACTTAACCAGCATGGCTACCACAGCATTCTGCAGCGATATGCCATCCCATCTGGCTTGTACTTAGTGGGACTATCATTTGTTTTTTCAACAGGACAATGACCCAACACACCTCCAGGCTGTGTAAGGGCTATTTGACCAAGAAGGAGAGTGATGGAGTGCTGCATCAGATAACCTGGCCGCGACAATCACTCGACCTCAACCAAATTGAGATGGTTTGGGATGACTTGGACCGCAGAGTGAAGGAAAAGCAGCCAACAAGTGCACAGCATATGTGGGAACCCCTTCAAGACTGTTGGAAAAGCATTCCTCATGAAGCTGGTTGAGAGAATGCCAAGAGTGTGCAAAGCTGTCATCAAGGCAAAGGGTGGCTACATTGAAGAATCTAAAATCTATTTAGATTTGTTTAACACTTTTTTTGGTTAATACATGATTCCATGTGTGTTATTTCATAGTTTTGATGTCTTCACTATTATTCTACAATGTAGAAAATAGTAAAAATCAAGAGAAACCCTTGAATGAGTAGGTTTCCAAACTTTTGACTGGTGCTGTATTACATACACATTGACTCAAATATCCTACCTTGGCGTGCTCTGTGCGTTGTTTTCCAGTGCTCTTCTTGTGCTTGACGGCCTCCCGGTTCCTGCGGTTGGCTGCCGAGGCTGTGCTGGGCTCTGGGGCATCCACTGCTTGCCGTTTGTGGCTCCCCTGCCCTTTCCCAGGGTCCTGCTGCAGAGGGACAGGAGCCCCCTTAGAACGCTTCCTCTCCGTCCTGTGAGACAGAATGCCAGACAGCATGTTACAGAGGGGTGAGCAGAATGCCAGACAGCGTGTTACAGAGCGGTGAGCAGAATGCTGTGGATCTCTACAGGGGGACTTTCCACGTCCGACACCCAGCCCAGTCTCTTGGGATATGGGCAAACAAGAGGTTATTAAAGGTGCTTGGAAATCACCAAACATGTCCAATATATTTGTAATGTTATGGTATAGGTATACGAGAATAATGATATACCAGAAGTAGTTTGGGGCAGAGAAGCTATGGGTGGATGGATGCGCTGCAGAGCTTTGAAGACACTAGCTAGGAGGAGGAGAGAGATGGTGTAGTGTTACTGACTAGCTAGGAGGAGAGAGATGGTGTAGTGTTACTGACTAGCTAGGAGGAGGAGAGAGATGGTGTAGTGTTACTGACTAGCTAGGAGGAGAGAGATGGTGTAGTGTTACTGACTAGCTAGGAGGAGGAGAGAGATGGTGTAGTGTTACTGACTAGCTAGGAGGAGGAGAGAGATGGTGTAGTGTTACTGACTAGCTAGGAGGAGGAGAGAGATGGAAGGAGGAGAGAGATGGTAGTGTTACTGACTAGCTAGAGGAGGAGAGAGATGGTGTAGTGTTACTGACTAGCTAGGAGGAGGAGAGAGATGGTGTAGTGTTACTGACTAGCTAGGAGGAGGAGAGAGATGGTGTAGTGTTACTGACTAGCTAGGAGGAGGAGAGAGATGGTGTAGTGTTACTGACTAACTAGGAGGAGAGAGAGAGTTGGTGTAGTGTTACTGACTAGCTAGGAGGAGGAGAGAGATGGTGTAGTGTTACAGACTAGCTAGGAGGAGGAGAGAGATGGTGTAGTGTTACTGACTAGCTAGGAGGAGGAGAGAGATGGTGTAGTGTTACTGACTAGCTAGGAGGAGGAGAGAGATGGGTGTAGTGTTACTGACTAGCTAGGAGGAGGAGAGAGATGGTGTAGTGTTTACTGACTAGCTAGGAGGAGGAGAGAGATGGTGTAGTGTTACTGACTAGCTAGGAGGAGGAGAGAGATGGTGTAGTGTTATTGACTAGCTAGGAGGAGGAGAGAGATGGTGTAGTGTTATTGACTAGCTAGGAGGAGAGAGATGGTGTAGTGTTACTGACTAGCTAGGAGGAGAGAGATGGTGTAGTGTTACTGACTAGCTAGGAGGAGGAGAGAGATGGTGTAGTGTTACTGACTAGCTAGGAGGAGGAGAGAGATGGTGTAGTGTTACTGACTAGCTAGGAGGAGAGAGAGAGATGGTGTAGTGTTACTGACTAGCTAGGAGGAGGAGAGAGATGGTGTAGTGTTACTGACTAGCTAGGAGGAGGAGAGAGATGGTGTAGTGTTACTGACTAGCTAGGAGGAGAGAGAGAGATGGTGTAGTGTTACTGACTAGCTAGGAGGAGGAGAGAGATGGTGTAGTGTTACTGACTAGCTAGGAGGAGAGAGATGGTGTAGTGTTACTGACTAGCTAGGAGGAGGAGAGAGATGGTGTAGTGTTACTGACTAGCTAGGAGGAGAGAGATGGTGTAGTGTTTACTGACTAACTAGGAGGAGGAGAGAGATGGTGTAGTGTTACTGACTAGCTAGGAGGAGGAGAGAGATGGTGTAGTGTTACTGACTAGCTAGGAGGAGGAGGAGAGAGATGGTGTAGTGTTACTGACTAGCTAGGAGGAGGAGAGAGATGGTGTAGTGTTACTGACTAGCTAGGAGGAGGAGAGAGATGGTGTAGTGTTACTGACTAGCTAGGAGGAGGAGAGAGATGGTGTAGTGTTACTGACTAGCTAGGAGGAGGAGAGAGATGGTGTAGTGTTACTGACTAGCTAGGAGGAGGAGAGAGATGGTGTAGTGTTACTGACTAGCTAGGAGGAGAGAGAGAGATGGTGTAGTGTTACTGACTAGCTAGGAGGAGGAGAGAGATGGTGTAGTGTTACTGACTAGCTAGGAGGAGGAGAGATGGTGTAGTGTTACTGACTAGCTAGGAGGAGGAGAGAGATGATGTAGTGTTACTGACTAGCTAGGAGGAGGAGAGAGATGGTGTAGTGTTACTGACTAGCTAGGAGGAGGAGAGAGATGGTGTAGTGTTACTGACTAGCTAGGAGGAGGAGAGAGATGGTGTAGTGTTACTGACTAGCTAGGAGGAGGAGAGAGATGGTGTAGTGTTACTGACTAGCTAGGAGGAGGAGAGAGATGGTGTAGTGTTACTGACTAGCTAGGAGGAGGAGAGAGATGGTGTAGTGTTACTGACTAACTAGGAGGAGAGAGAGAGTTGGTGTAGTGTTACTGACTAGCTAGGAGGAGGAGAGAGATGGTGTAGTGTTACTGACTAGCTAGGAGGAGGAGAGAGATGGTGTAGTGTTACTGACTAGCTAGGAGAAGGAGAGAGATGGTGTAGTGTTACTGACTAGCTAGGAGGAAGAGAGAGATGGTGTAGTGTTACTGACTAGCTAGGAGGAGGAGAGAGATGGTGTAGTGTTACTGACTAGCTAGGAGGAGGAGAGAGATGGTGTAGTGTTACTGACTAGCTAGGAGGAGGAGAGAGATGGTGTAGTGTTACTGACTAGCTAGGAGGAGGAGAGAGATGGTGTAGTGTTACTGACTAGCTAGGAGGAGGAGGAGAGAGATGGTGTAGTGTTACTGACTAGCTAGGAGGAGAGAGAGAGATGGTGTAGTGTTACTGACTAGCTAGGAGGAGGAGAGAGATGGTGTAGTGTTACTGACTAGCTAGGAGGAGGAGAGAGATGGTGTAGTGTTACTGACTAGCTAGGAAGAGGAGAGAGATGGTGTAGTGTTACTGACTAGCTAGGAGGAGGAGAGAGATGGTGTAGTGTTACTGACTAGCTAGGAGGAGGAGAGAGATGGTGTAGTGTTACTGACTAGCTAGGAGGAGGAGAGAGATGGTGTAGTGTTACTGACTAGCTAGGAGGAGGAGAGAGATGGTGTAGTGTTATTGACTAGCTAGGAGGAGGAGAGAGAGTGGTGTAGTGTTATTAGTAGGAGGAGATGGTGTATTGACTAGCTAGGAGGAGAGAGATGGTGTAGTGTTACTGACTAGCTAGGAGGAGAGAGATGGTGTAGTGTTACTGACTAGCTAGGAGGAGGAGAGAGATGGTGTAGTGTTACTGACTAGCTAGGAGGAGGAGAGAGATGGTGTAGTGTTACTGACTAGCTAGGAGGAGGAGAGAGATGGTGTAGTGTTACTGACTAGCTAGGAGGAGAGAGAGAGATGGTGTAGTGTTACTGACTAGCTAGGAGGAGGAGAGAGATGGTGTAGTGTTACTGACTAGCTAGGAGGAGGAGAGAGATGGTGTAGTGTTACTGACTAGCTAGGAGGAGAGAGAGAGATGGTGTAGTGTTACTGACTAGCTAGGAGGAGGAGAGAGATGGTGTAGTGTTACTGACTAGCTAGGAGGAGGAGAGAGATGGTGTAGTGTTACTGACTAGCTAGGAGGAGGAGAGAGATGGTGTAGTGTTACTGACTAGCTAGGAGGAGGAGAGAGATGGTGTAGTGTTACTGACTAGCTAGGAGGAGGAGAGAGATGGTGTAGTGTTACTGACTAACTAGGAGGAGGAGAGAGATGGTGTAGTGTTACTGACTAGCTAGGAGGAGGAGAGAGATGGTGTAGTGTTACTGACTAGCTAGGAGGAGGAGAGAGATGGTGTAGTGTTACTGACTAGCTAGGAGGAGGAGAGAGATGGTGTAGTGTTACTGACTAGCTAGGAGGAGAGAGAGAGATGGTGTAGTGTTACTGACTAGCTAGGAGGAGGAGAGAGATGATGTAGTGTTACTGACTAGCTAGGAGGAGGAGAGAGATGGTGTAGTGTTACTGACTAGCTAGGAGGAGGAGAGAGATGGTGTAGTGTTACTGACTAGCTAGGAGGAGGAGAGAGATGGTGTAGTGTTACTGACTAGCTAGGAGGAGAGAGAGAGGATGGTGTAGTGTTACTGACTAGCTAGGAGGAGGAGAGAGATGGTGTAGTGTTACTGACTAGCTAGGAGGAGGAGAGAGATGGTGTAGTGTTACTGACTAGCTAGGAGGAGGAGAGAGATGGTGTAGTGTTACTGACTAGCTAGGAGGAGGAGAGAGATGGTGTAGTGTTACTGACTAGCTAGGAGGAGGAGAGAGATGGTGTAGTGTTACTGACTAGCTTAGGAGGAGGAGAGAGATGGTGTAGTTGTTACTGACTAGCTAGGAGGAGAGAGATGGTGTAGTGTTACTGACTAACTAGGAGGAGGAGAGAGATGGTGTAGTGTTACTGACTAGCTAGGAGGAGGAGAGAGATGGTGTAGTGTTACTGAACTAGCTAGGAGGAGGAGGAGAGAGATGGTGTAGTGTTACTGACTAGCTAGGAGGAGGAGAGAGATGGTGTAGTGTTTACTGACTAGCTAGGAGGAGGAGAGAGATGGTGTAGTGATACTGACTAGCTAGGAGGAGGAGAGAGATGGTGTAGTGTTACTGACTAGCTAGGAGGAGGAGAGAGATGGTGTAGTGTTACTCTGACCTACTAGGGAGAGGAGAGAGATGGTGATTTGTGTGTGTTACTGACTAGTAGGAGGAGGAGAAGAGATGGTGTAGTGTTACTGACTAGACTAGGAGGAGGAGAGAGATGGTGTAGTGTTACTGACTATCTAGAGGAGGAGAGAGATGGTGTATGTTACTGACTAGCTAGGAGAGGAGAGAGATGGTGTAGTGTTACTGACTAGCTAGGAGGAGGAAGAGAGATGGTGTAGTGTTACTGACTAGCTAGTAGGAGAGAGATGGTGTAGTGTTACTGACTAGCTAGGAGAGGAGAGAGATGGTGTAGTGTTCTGACTATAGCTAGAGGAGAGAGAGAGATGGTGTAGTGTTACTGACTAGCTAGGAGGAGGAGAGAGATGTGTAGTGTTTACTGACTAGCTAGGAGGAGGAGAGAGATGGGTAGTGTTACTGACTAGCTAGGAGGAGGAGAGAGATGTGTAGTGTTACTGACTGCTAGAGAGGAGGAGAGAGATGGTGTAGTGTTACTTTTGACTGACTAGCTAGAGGAGAGGAGAGAGATGGTGTAGTTTACTGACTAGCTAGGAGGAGGAGAGAGATGGTGTAGTGTTACTGACTAGCTAGGAGGAGAGAGAGAGATGGTGTAGTGTTACTGACTAGCTAGGAGGAGGAGAGAGATGGTGTAGTGTTACTGACTAGCTAGGAGGAGGAGAGAGATGGTGTAGTGTTACTGACTAGCTAGGAGGAGGAGAGAGATGGTGTAGTGTTACTGACTAGCTAGGAGGAGGAGAGAGATGGTGTAGTGTTACTGACTAGCTAGGAGGAGGAGAGAGATGGTGTAGTGTTACTGACTAGCTAGGAGGAGGAAGAGATGGTGTAGTGTTTACTGGACTAACTAGGAGGAGAGAGAGAGTTGGTGTAGTGTTACTGACTAGCTAGGAGGAGGAGAGAGATGGTGTAGTTGTTACTGACTAGCTAGGAGGAGGAGAGAGATGGTGTAGTGTTACTGACTAGCTAGGAGAAGGAGAGAGATGGTGTAGTGTTACTGACTAGCTAGGAGGAAGAGAGAGATGGTGTAGTGTTACTGACTAGCTAGGAGGAGGAGAGAGATGGTGTAGTGTTACTGACTAGCTAGGAGGAGGAGAGAGATGGTGTAGTGTTACTGACTAGCTAGGAGGAGGAGAGAGATGGTGTAGTGTTACTGACTAGCTAGGAGGAGGAGAGAGATGGTGTAGTGTTACTGACTAGCTAGGAGGAGGAGAGAGATGGTGTAGTGTTACTGACTAGCTAGGAGGAGGAGAGAGATGGTGTAGTGTTACTGACTAGCTAGGAGGAGGAGGAGAGAGATGGTGTAGTGTTACTGACTAGCTAGGAGGAGAGAGATGGTGTAGTGTTACTGACTAGCTAGGAGGAGGAGGAGAGAGATGGTGTAGTGTTACTGACTAGCTAGGAGGAGGAGAGAGATGGTGTAGTGTTACTGACTAGCTAGGAGGAGGAGAGAGATGATGTAGTGTTACTGACTAGCTAGGAGGAGAGAGAGAGATGGTGTAGTGTTACTGACTAGCTAGGAGGAGGAGAGAGATGGTGTAGTGTTACTGACTAGCTAGGAGGAGGAGAGAGATGGTGTAGTGTTACTGACTAGCTAGGAGGAGGAGAGAGATGGTGTAGTGTTACTGACTAGCTAGGAGGAGGAGGAGAGAGATGGTGTAGTGTTACTGACTAGCTAGGAGGAGGAGAGAGATGGTGTAGTGTTACTGACTAGCTAGGAGGAGGAGAGAGATGGCGTAGTGTTACTCACTCAGACTTGCGGGAACCAGGACCTGAAGAGGAGGGTTTGAGATCTTTCTGCAGCTTTGGCTTCTTCCTTGGCACGGCTTTCACATCCTTCTCAGCCTGAAAAACAAACCGTATTAGAGACAGGCTCGCTCTTTTTACAGTTGAAAAGGGCAAACCAAGCGTCTATGGCGAAACCACCATTATTATTTGTATTGTCTAAAAAGCAAAAACAGAGGGTTTACCCTCGAGTAGATGACATTCTCCATTTTACTACCACATTCACTATATATAACGTTAGTCAACCGTACAGGTTGGCAGTCCTTACAGGACCAATGACGCACAGCCTTGTTAAGAGCCTTGTGAAGGAGGCCAGGCTGCCCTGTACACCTCATCAGCAGAGAGCCTGAGGAAACGAGGACCAGATACTGTACGTATCAATTCTTTGCAATTTTGCCAGCCATAGACTGGCGTCTCTAAATGTAAATCAAAAATCGGTCGCGTACACTTATTTTGCGGATGTTATCGCAGGCGCAGAGAATTGTTTCTAGCTCCAACTGTGCAGCAATATCAAACAATACACACAAATCCCAAAAATAAAAAAGAAAGAAATGAAGAAATATCAGAACAAGCCATTTCAGAGTCCGGAATATATGTATATAATGGTGTGTATAGACAGTATGGACAGTATATGAATAGAAAAGGTGTGTACAGTAGTAGTTATATAGGATGAGCCTGGACTAGAACACAGTATATACACTCAATGGCCAGTTTATTAGGTACACCGCAGAGTGAAGGAAAATGGTTCGCTCCTAAAGACAGTGAGTCATGTGGCCTTGGCTTGCTATATAAAGCAGACAGACAGGCATCAAGGCATTTGGTTACGGTTCGATTGAATGTTAGAATGGGCAAAACAAGTGACCTAAGCGACTGATCGTGGTATGTTCGTCGGGGCCAGGCGCGCCGGTTCCAGTATCTCAGAAACGGCCGGCCTCCTGGGCTTTTCACGCACAACAGTGTTTAGGGTTTACTGAGAATGGCGAGACAAAAAAAACACCCAGACAGCGGCAGTCCTGTGGGCGAAAACAGCTCGTTGACGAGAGGTTGAAGGAGAATGGCAAGAATCGTGCAAGCTAACAGGCGGGCCACAAACAGGCAAATAACGGTGTGGTACAACGGTGGTGTGCAGAACGGCATCGCAGAACGCACAACTCATCGGTGCTCGTCACGGATAGGCTATTGCAGCAGACGACCACACCGGGTTCCACTCCTATCAGCTAAAAACAAGAAGAAGTGGCTCCAGTGGACACGCCATCACCAACACTGGACAACTGGAGAAGTGGAAAAACAACAGCCTGGTCCGTCGAATCCCGGTTCCTGTTGCATCATGCTGATGGCAGAGTCAGGATTTGGCGTAAGCAGCATGAGTCCATGGCCCCATCCTGCCTGGTGACAACGCTACAGGCTGGTGGAGGTGGTGGAATGTTTTCCTGGCACGCGTTAATCCCTAAAGTACCGGGTGGTAGCCGGCTAGTAACAATGACTAAGTTCAGGGCAGGGTCCAGGGAGGAGGCTGGCTAATGATGACTGTTTAACAGTGATGGCCTGGAGATAGAAGCTGTTCATCAGTCTCTCTGTGCCAGCTTTGATGCACCTGCACTGTGTCCTCCTCCTAGATGGTAGTGGGGTGAACAGCTTGTGGCTCAGGTGGCTGAGGTCCTTGATTATCTTCTTGGCCTTCCTGTGACACCGGGTGCTGTAGATGTCCTGGAGGGCAAGCAGTGTGCCCCCGGTGATGCATTGGGGTGACCGCGCCACCCTCTGGAGAGCCCTGCAGTTGGCGTTAATGTTTAGGCGATGTAAGAGGAAGGCGTACAGTCAGTACGGGACATTGTGTCTGGTGGTATGATGGCAAGCGCAACCCCATTGTGTTTTAGAGTTGGATACTACTACTACTGATGCTACTGCTACTGCTACTACTACTGCTACTACTACTACTGCTACTACTGCTACTACTACTGCTACTACTGCTACTACTACTGCTACTACTGCTACTGCTACTACTGCTGCTACTACTACTACTACTGCTACTGCTGCTACTACTGCTGCTGAACCCAAACCATCTCATAAATCCTAAACAACAACCACTACTATCAGCAACACCATGCATACCATTTCATCATAACAACAAAAAGCCAACCCACCGGTCTCTTTTTGCAGACTTTGGTAGGGATGGGGGCAGTAGGGTTGGTGTCTCCCCTCTCTGGGGTCGTGTAGGGTCCCTTCCTGGTGGCTGGGTCCTGGCCCCCCGGAGAAGGCCTGGAGCCCTGGGGGGGAACCCTAGACAGCAGGCTCAGCTCTATCTTTACCAGCAGGGCCCGTGGAGGCCCCTGGCGGGCCCTGGAAGCTTTGGCTGAAGACTCCCGCTTGGCCTCGTGTGCTGCGGCTGGACAGTGGCGCCTGGGCTTTTTCTGGCCCCTCCGAGGGGCCGGGAGGGTCTCTGTCCTGACGCTGGTGGTCTTCACCACAGCTGGGGTTGGCTGGTCTACCCCCTGGGCATGGCTGGGACTAGGAGCCGTCTCTCTCTTACAGACCAGCACCAGAGACACCTTGGGGCCACCCTGTGACTCTGGTTGTTCCGTCTTCCTCTTCTCAGAGGCGCCGCGCTTTGCAGGCTTCCTGCTGTCCGTTTTGGCGCCGCCGCTCTTGCTGCTGCTGTGCCCGGTTTTCGTTTTGACCTTTGGCCTGTCTGTGAACGAGGGGTCTTTGTCGCGGGGGGCCACCTCAACACTCTCCACCCGTAACCCAGCCTGAGGGTCTTCAGGGCGGGGAGCCTTGGCTGGTCTGGAGGGGTGTTTGTTCCCCACAGTCTTTCTCTGGCTGATGCTGCTGCTGTCCCCAACGTGCGAGGCGGCCGGCGACGTGTGGCAGACATGCTGGTTGTGGGCAGCGCCCTCACTGCGTTGAGGTTTGGCTTCACCGTCACTGAACTCTGGGTGGTGTGGGGGTGTGTGGGATTTGTAGTCCCTGGGAGGAATGGCCTCCTCCTCATCATGGCTCTGCTGCGGTTTGGGTAGAGGGCTCAGTAGAGCGTCACTCTGGATCTCTGTGCTGGGGTTCTGCTGGCTCACTCGGATCCAGTTATTCAACTGCCAGTTAGTCACCGCGGGGCCCTCAGTCTAGACAGACAGACAGACAGACAGACAGACAGACAATATATAATACATGTTAAGAAACATATAGGCCCGATTTCAACATCCTGGACTCTAAAGCCATTTAAATGGTTTGATTTGTGTTGGTCACAAATCAAACCATTTAAATGGCAGTTGGACAGACAATATATGATCAATGTAAGGAAACACAAATATATATTAGTGGAGGGGAGGACGGCTCATAATAATGGCTGGAACAGAGCGAATGGAATGGCACCATTCCACTCATTACCATGAGCCCGTTCTCCCCAATTAAGGTGCCACCCACCTCCTGTGGGGGAGATATATATATATATATATATATATACACACACACATACACACACACACACACACACACACACAGTACCAGTCAAAAGTTCTGACACACCTACTCATTCAAGGTTTTTCTTTTTTTTACTATTTTCTACATTGTAGAATAATAGTGAAGACATCAAAACTATGAAATAACACATATGGAGTCATGTAGTAACCAAAAAAAAGTGTTCAACAAATCAAAGTATATTTTATATTTGAGATTCTTCAAAGTAGCCACCCTTTGCATTGATGACAGCTTTGCACACTCTTGGCATTCACCCAACCAGCTTCATGACGTAGTCACCTGGAATGCATTTAAATTAACAAGTGTGCCTTGTTAAAAGTTAATTTAATGCATTTGAGCCAATCAGTTGTGTTCTGACAAGGTAGGGGGGTATACAGAAGATAGCCCTATTTGGTAAAAGACCAAGTCCATATTATGCAAATAAGCAAAGAGAAACAACAATCCATTATCACTTCAAGACAAGAAGGTCAGTCAATCCAGACAACTTCAAGAACTTTGAAAGTTTCTTCAAGTGCAGTCGCAAAAACCATCAAGCGCTATGATGAAACTGGCTCTCATGAGGACTGCCACAGGAAAGGAAGACCCAGAGTTACCTCTGCTGCAGAGGATAAGTTCATTAGAGTTAACTGCACCTCAGATTGCAGCCCAAATAAATGCTTCACAGAGTTCAAGTAACAGACACATCAACATCAACTGTTCAGAGGAGACTGTGTGAATCAGGCCTTCATGGTCAAATTGCTGCAAAGAAACCACTACTAAAGGACACCAATAAGAAGAAGAGACTTGCTTGGGCCAAGAAACACGAGAAATTGACATTAGACCAGTGGAAATCTGTCCTTTGGTCTGATGAGTCCAAATTTCAGATTTTGGGTTCCAACCGCCGTGTCTTTGTGAGACGCAGAGCAGGTCAACGGATGATCTCCGTATGTGTGGTTCCCACCGTGAAGCATGGAGGAGGTGGTGTGATGGGTGTGGGGGTGCTCATCTGGTGACACTGTCTGTGATTTATTTAGAATTCAAGGCACACTTAACCAGCATGGCTACCACAGCATTCTGCAGCGATACGCCATCCCATCTGGTTTGCGCTTAGTGGGACTATCATTTGTTTTTCAACAGGACAATGACCCAAAACACACTCCAGACTGCAGGAGTGCTGCATCAGATGACCTGGCCTCCACAGTCACCCTGACCTCAACCCAATTGAGAATGTTTGGGATGAGTTGGACCGCAGAGTGAAGGAAAAGCAGCCAACAAGAGCTCAGCATATGTGGGAACTCCTTCAAGACTGTTGGAAAAGCATTCCTGGTGAAGCTGGTTGAGAGAATGCAAAGAGTGTGCAAAGCTGTCATCAAGGCAAAGGGTGGCTATTTGAAGAATTTAAAATATATTTTGTTTAACACTTTTTCGGTTACTATATGATTCCAAATGTGTTATTTCATCGTTTTGATGTCTTCACTATTATTCTAACGTGTAGAAAACAGTAAAAATAAAGAAAAACCCTTGAATGAGTAAGTGTCCCCCCAGACTTTTCATTGGCACTATATATATAATTACCTGAGGGTTACAGACAAGACAGACAATATAGCATCAATGTAAAGAAACACAGTGCCTTGCAAAAGTATTCATCCCCCTTGGCATTTTTTTCTATTTTGTTGCATTACAACCTGTAATTTAAATGGATTTTTATTTGGATTTCATGCAATGGACATACACAAAATAGTCCAAATTGGTGAAGTGAAATGAAAAAAAGAACTTGTTTCAAAAGATTCTAAAAAATAAATAACGGAAAATGGTGTGTGCATATGTATTCACCCCCTTTGCTATGAAGCCCCTAAATAGGATCTGGTGCAACTAATTACCTTCAGAAGTCACATAATTAGTTAAATAAAGTCCACCTGTGTGCAATCTAAGTGTCACATGATCTCAGTGTATATACACACACCTGTTCTGAAAGGCCCCAGAGTCTGCAACACCACTAAGCAAGGGGCACCACCAAGCAAGCGGCACCATGAAGACCAAGGAGCTCTCCAAATAGGTCAGGGACAAAGTTGGTTATAAAAAAATATCAGAAACTTTGAACATCCCACGGAGCACCATTAAATCCATTATTAAAAAATTGAAAGAATATGGCACCACAACAAACCTGCCAAGAGAGGGCCGCCCACCAAAAACTCACGGAGCAGGCAAGGAGGGTATTTATCAGAGGCAACAAAGAGACCAAAGATAACCCTGAAGGAGCTGCAGAGCTCCACAGCGGAGATTGGAGTATCTGTCCATAGGACCACTTTAAGCCGTACACTCCACAGAGCTGGGCTTTACAGATGAGTGGCCAGAAAAAAGCCAATGCTCAAAGAAAAAAAGTAAGGAAACACATTTGGTGTTCGCCAAAAACCATGTGGGAGACTCCCCAAACATATGGAAGAAGGTACTCTGGTCAGCTTTTTGGCCATCAAGGAAAACGCTATGTCTGGCGCAAACCCAACACCTCTCATCACCCCGAGAACACCATCCCCACAGTGAAGCATGGTGGTGGCAACATCATGCTGGGGGGATGTTTTTCATTGGCAAGGACTGGGAAACTGGTCAGAATTGAAGGAATGATGGATGGCGTTAAATACAGGGAAATTCTTGAGGGAAACCGGTTTCAGTCTTCCAGATATTTGAGACTGGGACGGAGGTTCACCTTCCAGCAGAACAATGACCCTAAGCATACTTCTAAAGCAACACTTGAGTGGTTTAAGGGAAAACATTTAAATGTCTTGGAATGGCCTAGTCAAAGCCCAGACCTCAATCCAATTGAGAATCTGTGGTATGACTTAAAGATTGCTGTACATCAGCGGAACCTATCCAACTTGAAGGAGCTGGAGCAGTTTTGCCTTGAAGAATGGGCAAAAATCCCAGTGGCTAGATGTGCCAAGCTTATAGAGACATACCCCAAGAGACTTGCAGCTGTAATTGCTGCAAAAGGTGGCTCTACAAAGTATTGACTTTTGGGGGGAGGTGAATAGTTATGCACGCTCAAGTTCTGTTTTTATTTATTTATTGTTTGTTTCACAAGAAAAACAATTTTGCATCTTCAAAGTGGTAGGCATGTTGTGTAAATCAAATGATACAACCCCCCCCCCCAAAATCAATTTTAATTCCAGGTTGTAAGGCAACAAAATAGGAAAAATGCCAAGGGGGGTGAATACTTTCGCAAGCCATTGTATAGGACTGCTTTCCCAGACACAGATCAGGGGCCTAAAACCTAGTTCTGAGATTGACAGGACTTTTAATTTGTTTCCGGGAAACTGACCCACAGTGTATGTATGATCAATCAGAGACAAAGCAAGTCATTGAAGTGTTCTGAGTGCATGACTAAGCAGTGTGCTGTGTGATTGTACCTTGGGCACAGGTGGGCTGCTGTTCCTGAGGGGTTGTGGGGCCTCCTCTGTCCCGCTCTCACTGCTCTCACTGCTCGACTCAGACCCTGGGCTGCTCTCAGAGTCACTGGAGCTGGCCGACTCCACCCCACTGGAATGTGCTGTTACAACCGTACTGAGGGACCAGAAAGAGCGTAGAACAGGGTTACAACCGTACTGAGACGGAGACCAAGTAGGGTTACTTGCAACCAGAGAACACGGAGACAGACGCAGGTTAAATCAGAGCAGCAGGTGAGAGAGTAGGGCAGAGAATGAAAGTCTCATATCCTGACACAGCATGATAAAAAAAACAAAAACAATACCGTTTAAAAAGCAATGTAGTGAGTTAAGATTAGGGCTGACATTTTGCCAGCCGGTTATTGTCATGCAAATGACTGGCGGTCTCACGGTAATTGACCATTAATTAACAAACACGTTTAGCATCTCCAGGCTGCTGATATTTGGAACATCTACATTTAAAAATGTCTAATAAATCCGTTTAATATACACCATCACAACAAATGGATTGCGCATTCAGATGGAACAGAGTAAATAGGCATTTTAACGTAATAGATTTAGCCGGTGGTGATTTGAGGAATAGACATTGGCTGGAATGTGGTTTTAACCAAATCAGCATTCAGGATTAGACCCACCCGTTGTATAACTGGCTATGTGCCATGCCATAGGCTGTAGGCTAGTCCATTCCGGAGCGAGTGCGCATATGAAGTGGCTATGTTGAGCGTAAAAGTGATCATTTGAAACAGGTCTTAAATGCTGGAGATTCAGAGTTATTCGGCAACTTTAGTTGTGAATGATACAAAC